ACCAGATTTTGAAATGCAAATTCAAACAAGCCGAAGTAAAAGTGAAAACTTCTTTGCACCAGCTTCTCCCCACTGGAGTCCACAAGATGAATTCTTCCTGCCTCTTCTGTTTTAGCAGCTGACACTGTGTGGGGCCCTGACAGCTGTCTGTATGTGTTTGTTCTTGTTACCTGTGGTCATCTCACTACTTCCTCCCCATGAGGGTTTTAATACAGTGTCCCCTGACTGGAATACAGCAATATGGCTGTTTCTCACTGTCTGTCACCACCCCATCTCTCCCCCACCCCCACCCAGATATATCCCTAAAATATCCATTAACAAATGAATGGATAAATAAAATGTGGTATTTATATCTAATGGAGTACTATTAAGCTATGAAAAAGGATAAATATAAGTTGTTTGTTAGAAAATAGATGCACCTTGAGACTGTAATGTTAAGTAAAATAAATCAGACATTCAAGCTTAAAAATCACATAGTTTCTCTTATGAGAAACCTAAGGTATAAGTAAAGAGTAAAATAAAAGATAGAGGATAGGAAAGAGGAAGATAGATCTTTTGCAAATGCAAAAGAGATGACGAGATGGAGGGAGGAGAAGGGAATGGAAGGGGACATAAAAAAATTAAGATACGTTATGTATATTTACCCCCCATGATGAATATAATCATTATGTGCCACAAACATGTACTAATAAAAGTAAACATTTAAAAAGACCCAGAGACTGTTTCAGACTCCATCATGACACAATCATAGCCTCCATCCTAAAAGGTAGGAGAAACAACATCTATTATCAAGCCATAGGTAACCAATTCAGTACAGCTGGAGAGTTCAGTATCTCTGCTTGGTTAAAAACCTCGCCTCCTAAGAGCTACGGTCCAGATTCTCCTAATCAAAGGTGTGAAGCGGAGGGAGAAACTAGAGGAGAAATAGTCCCTGGTTTCTGAGTGCGGCACCAGAGGCCTGGGTGGGCTGTGACAGGTGCGGAGAGAAGAGTCTCACATCTTCCAGGGTGGAAGACAGCACCGGAGGGCCTGCTGCTGCCCCCCCACTGCCTGCACACATCATCTTTAGGATACTTCTATGGGTGCCAGGTCAACAGGTTCATTGTTCAAAGAACACCTTCAATTCCTTCCAGAAAGGCAGCCCTACCCAGGTTTTACCCCCTGCTAACGACTTCAGGCACACTAAGCTGTTCACATTTCCTCTGACTCATGTGTCCCTGAATTATGTGTGCAGTCAGTCTCTATGTGTACTGCATGGGTCATACAAAGCAGTTGTCATCACTCTGCCTTGCCGTGTTTGGTTCAATCTTCTATTAAGTTTCATCACCAACTCTTATATTCCAGATCCAAGCAAATCTTCCTCCAATAACTATCTCCATGCAGGAAGATGGCATCAGGAGGAAGCAGAGATGGTGTGGGGTTCCTAATAGATGCCACAAGGCAGTGTACCTCACTGCCTCAAATCTCAGCAAATGACAATAAGGTGAATAACTGACACTCCTGGGGGAATCAAAGTGAGCCATGGCATGGGAGTTGCAAAGGGCCTTCACATGTACTGCAGGGCTTAACAGCCACTCCCAGCCCAGCAGTAATGCCATACGTAGGGGGCAAGCAATAGTCATGCAAACGAGCACCTTCCCTTCTTTGAATCTAAGTGGCTAACTCACTACTGAACTTTGACATATGTGAATACGTAAATGGGTCGTGCATTGGGAGCTCATGGCAATGTCATATAAGCACTTGCTCTCAATTTCTGCGCTGACCTTGGTGCAGATGTTCCAATGGGATATGCAAAGAAGTGTACATAGCTCACAGTTCACACCCTAAAGGATGGGCCAAGTTCTCTCCCGCTTCTCCAAGCTCCTCACCTTGACGGGAATGCAGTCAGACCGTGGACTACCACAGACCTGATAGATATGACCAACATGCTGAGATTCTCAAGAGAACAGAAGAATCCTGGCATCCAGTGGCCTCACCAAGCCAACGTGCTACATCTACTCAACTTTTATACACCGTCCTTGTTCAGGAGACTGTTACACGACACACCTAGCACCTGACAGTATGCAGACTCAGGACCAGACTGTTCACTGGACCATCACCGCACGCAGAGGTGTCTCTTTATACACAAGCGCTAAAAGAACACCAAAATCCCCAACGACTCTAGGTTTAAATATGCAGGCAACACACCCTTGAAATCCTGATGGACTTGGTCCCTTAGTAAACACGGAGTCAGGTGTGGACTGCCTTCTCTGTTTTTTGTCCCCACTGGCTGGGGACAGCCAGTATCTCCCCTGAGGACAGCCAGCCATTTCACAAAGACACACCATGGTTATAAAACAACTATACAAATGTATCTCAGAAAATATTGTCCAGTGGCATAAAGGAGCACACAGCTCCCACTCCCCTCAGGGGTTTAGAAGGAATTTGATAATTTTTTGGGGTTTTTTTGGTTTTTTTTTTTTTTTTTTGGTTTTTCTCCGGTACCGGGAACCGAACTCACGACCTTGCGCTTGCCAGGCAGGCTTTTTGTCGCTGAGCTAAATCCCCAGCCCCGAATTTGATAATTTTTTGTGTCAAACACTGAAACAAGTTTTCTAACACCCTATTTGCAAATGCTCCAGACATTTGCACAGGGACCACTGACAGGCTTCAACAGAATGTTAGGTGAGGCCCAGACCAAAAATAAAGTCAGTTTAAAAGCACTCTTCTGTACTCCAGAATAGAGGGGTGTTTTTTAAAGTCTTAGAAAACAAAACCTTCATTAAATTGACACTTTACTAATCTTTCTCTTACAACCTTTTTAACCCCAATGTATTTTTTTAACGATAGCTCATTTGTTTTAACCCTAGAATAGAATATTTACTGTATTTCAACAGTCCAGAAAGGAGCTGGTAAAATATATATAAGCAACGCAATTCAGGCATTATCTGCAACCAGTATGTCTTAAAATAAGTACAAAGGTAGGGTGACGAGTACTTAGGAAATTTTACAGCAACATGACATTGTTATGAGATTCAAGTGCATGATCAGCTTTCTAATTAGTATCATTTTCTTTTAAAGAAGTTTCAGTTCTCAGTAGATTTTAAATAAAGAAGGATAGCCCTTCACCTACATAGCAAGGGTCTAGTAACCAATTTGGGACATAAAGACTCATTTTCAAACTGACTTGAAGCTTCAGGTCCTGACTAACACATAACTGTCATCAAAACTTCTTGAGGGTCCAGGCACACTGCATGAGCTAGGACCAGAAATAAAAGCAAAACAAAAACTTACCCCTCATTTATCCTTCCCGCCTAGCCATAGAGGGAGACTGTTATCAACACGCGTATTTACAAAGCGTAGGTTTATAGTAACACAAAACTTGGAAAGTTGTTTATTTTATAAGAGAAAACAATTTGCATTTGTGAGCACATGTGTGTTTTTCCTTTATAGGAACATTTATCTTCTCTAGCCCCCTGTCATCTCCACTTAATCCTTAATTCTAGAGCTAATTTTTAGAATTTGCTGCAGACGTTTGGAGCTACACCTCTGGAAAGAGTCCTTTGTTAACACCACAAGAGCATTTCGACTTATTTCTTTGGTGGGGGAAAAAAATGGAAGTTTACACTTCTTTAAACTGGAAAGTTTGATTTTGCCCCTAGAGAAAAGCAGCTTGGTTAAAAGTCTGAACTTATTGTTATTTATTATTTTATTGAGCAATAAATGAAAGTGTGATTGAGTCACTGGTGACTCCCGAATATTGTTAAGCCTGGAATCACATGGTTGAACGGCTGGCTGGCCGCAGACCTCCTCGCAATTCAAATGATCCAGAAGACAAATGAGCTAGGAGCAAAAATGTCTCACATTGATGCAAACCAATTAACGTCAACAAAATCCTGTGAAATTTATGTTGCCTGGCCTCAGAAAATGGTGGAACCAAACCTTTTCCTGTGCCTACAGGGCAAATTCATTAGATGGAAAACAGCACTTGTTAACCATGGCGTTCAGTAGTTCAGTAATATAAACAAGAGGTTCTTGAGACCCAGACCTAGAGAGCCAATCATGGGAGGAGCCTCCCCACTAGGAGAGGGTGGCCTTCTTGACAACCCCAATTAGTGAACGCACAGTAGGTGCTTCATAAAATCACCACGCAGGAGGAAAACAATATATCTGATTGTCATCCAGTTCATAAAATAATGGTTATATTATTTGATGAGAGAGGGACAAAGATTGAGATTTTGTCTGTAAGCTCCTAAAAGAATCCTACTTTTTTGTATTTTTACTCATTTTCTGTTTAAGTTTATTTACTAAGAATAGTTAATTCCTTGGTGCTGATTCAACTTTAATCATCTTCACAGTAGACACCCTCATTACCACAACTGACACATCTAAGAGTGGCCATGGAACAAAAACCGACCTTGCTGGACCCCAAAGCCGTTAAATTTACAACTTTGATTTCTACAGTGTGTGCCACATGAACTGGACTAGCTGCCAAACTGACCCCCAGCACTCTGCAGAGCTCTATCCTGGTCTATGTGGCCATGGGATGGTGCTGCTTCTGGGATAACTCAGGCCACAAGGCTCAACAACGTTCCCCTTGTTCAAAGTCAAAATGATGGCATTGAAAGGACCATGTCACAGAGGGCTTTTGTGTGGACAGACTTGCTCCTCTGGGGTAACAGGAGCGTAGCCTGAAGAATGGTTTGGTTGGGTAAAGTTAAAAATATACCAAACAATCCAAAGGCATAATAGATCATCAAAGAGACCATTTACCCAGGCAAGTTTGAGTGTAAATTCAACCAAGCCCTTAATGACTGGTAGACAGATTTCAGGGTATTCTATCAAACATCTCCTGAAACAGGCCCCAACCACAACAAAATATGGGGCAAAAAGTCAGCATCGGGATGATCAAATATTTTTCCTACTATAAAGAAATTATCATTTGTTGGTTTAGCCACTGATGTTCACTTTAGCACAGTCTGACAGTGGGAAATAAACTACTCAGTCAACAATTAGGATATGACTAGCATTGCCCAAAGCTCATGGGATAGTATTTATTTCTTTGTGCTCTCGTCTACTTTCTGTTCCATTTTTTCATAGTGACTGGCCTCTACAGACCGTCTGGGAGATAATGAAAACAGAATTGCTGAAGAGATGGTGGGAAGAACCTATCTGAGAGAAAACCGTCACGTGAAATCTAACCCATTCACACGGGTCTCAGGCCAGCTGCCACTGCACTCAATATCTTTTAATTCTTGTGTTTTGCTGAGACCTGCAGGAGAAACAGAAATTCATAGGCGATTGCTCATCATAGACATTTAGAGAAAAAGAAATATTATGTGTTTAATTTTCTGAAAAAAAAAAAAAAATAGATTCTGCCCCTCCTCCCCCCCACCCCCAGATATTATAACAAGGAGATTCTGGGCTACAGAGCTGGGACCACTGATCAACAGAAGGAAAGGGGGAATGGCCTTGAAAATTCCCACAGAACCAATAATCATGGAAGATCAAGGGAGAAAGGAGGGGTAGAAAGCTGTCAATATGGCCACCAAAGTTCAGGTGCAAAAAAAAGGAATATCTATGTACCAACCTGTCTGGATCTCTTTTCACATTCTCCTGGCCTTTATTCTATTCCTTTTTTGTGTCTTTGTTGATGTAGATGTTACCCAAAAAATGTAATTTCACTGCCAATTTTTCTCCTGATCACTTGCTCGTCTTACATTGAGCACTGTAATCCATAATTATTGTCAGCTGAGACGAAAGTAGCTGCTTAACTACTTACCAATTTATGCAGTCTCCACAGCATTGATCCTGCAGAAATGTAGATCAGCTATTTTCCAGGGAGAGCCGCCTTCCTGCAGAAGTGACTCCAGGCCAGCCACTGCCACCTGGAGGAATCCCACAGCACCCACCTGGGTGTGCAGGCAAATATCAAGAGAGTCTGAGGGTATTAAACACATTTGATACATCACAGGATGGGGTCCATAACCTGCTGCTCCCAGCAATAAGAAGTGATGTGTTGATTCCTGTTCCCTTCCTCTTGACTACTGATATTCACTTGGATCCTAGAAAATAAAGAAGGGAAAACAGAGATCAGATATGCCCATTACCCATTGCCATGGGTGCCATCACAGCAGGGCGTGGCTCAGCAGCACAGCAGAGGATCAGGTGCATGCTGGTCCTAAACGAGATATGCTCCGGGATCAGCCAGTGGTCAGGGGTGCACGGTGCAAAGCAAAGGAGACAGGACAAGGGTGTAGAGACTCAGGAAACATGTCCAAAAGCTACAGACACAAAGGGGGTCAGAGCTCTGCTAAATAAAGTAGGGTTTTCTCTCGCAATTTGTTTCTCCTTGGATCAGCCTTGGCAATTGTCCCCAAGACATAAGGGAGCCTAGCTCAGGCCACTCTGCAAATTCATGAGGCAGGGGAGACACCAAGCTGGGCATATGCATGATTATTACAGGAAGAGGGAAACATCTGAACTATTTAGCATCTCATGGTTTGGAGGGGCGATTGCTGAGACGCTGGTGGGGAAGAGACAAATGGGGTGGGGAAAATTTTCTAATCTTAATAAAATCTCTTTGCCTTTTCCAGTAAGGAAAGGATTGAGTGATTACATGTCTGGTCCTGCTTTAATATCATGAACTGTAGTGAGAAAGATTTGAAAGAATATGCTTAGAAAAAGAGAGTCTGTATTGTGCCTCGTCCGGTTATGCCTTAATATATTCTCATTAGCAATAAGCCAATTCTACATAAACAATGTTTTCTCAGCGGGCCACGGCAAGGTAATAAGGTACTCTCCACACTCGTTAAACCTCACATGCTTCAAAAGCATTCTTAAAGAGATAGTGTGGCTTGTCTGGTGTTTGGTGCACATTTTGCTGTGGAGTACAGAAGTGTGCGTGATCTCGCGAGAAGTTCTCGCGACAAGTTCCAGCTCTTCCTCCCACTGCTCAGTAACAGAGGAAGACTCTGGAAAAAGCAATTATTCAGGCTTTACCTGGAAAAAGGAAAAGACCATACATCTTGAAGTGGACAGAATATACAAATGTACATACCAGAAAGGTGAATTCTTATTTTTTTTTCTAAATGACTTTATTTGACCCAAAAAGATAACTTAAGCTTTCATTACAAGTGCATGTCACTTTTGAAGTAGGCAGATAAGTCACCTAAGTTTAGAAACCTAAGTCACTGTTAAGTGACTTCAGTTATCAAAGTAAGTTTCTTCAAAGCGCTGCTAGGGGAGCAAACAAGCTGTCACAGTCTCTTGCCTTTATCTTGCCACTTGTCAATCAGCTACCATATCTGGTAGTCAAGATTGGTTTTCTTTGTCTTTAGCCAAAGCTTGTTAGAACCAAACTGGGCAAAAAAAAAAAAAAGTCTTCCGTCATCCCTCTCTTTAGTACTACCGTGGGAAAATATGAGCAGCGCTCACAAAATACAGCGTAAGAGATGCCCCTAGATTGTTTTCTGAAATTATTAGCTTGATATCTTTACCAGTAACACTGCCAGTAGACACAGAACAATGGAGATTATTGTGTCTTTTACTTAGATTGGTTGGCATTAACAGAGTGAACTGTAATGGCTTCAGGTCAGTATTTCAGAATAATAAAAATGGTTATTTTAGAAGTTCTTTGTAATGTTAAATACAGTTCAAATGCCAACTTCTAAAATTCTGTTCCCTGAGAAATGCGACAATTTCTCTTCAACTGTCAATGTAAATACATGTAATCTTCATAAGGCATTATTATAATTGGCACATTGTGTATCACTCATCGGCACATTTCAAGAATTTTTTAAAATCAGAATATTGTAGGAATGCTTTCTATTGATCTAAAATATAGATGTAGATTTAATCATACATGTTTATATATTAACATCACTTCCTTTTTCTTTCTTGTATGAAACAAAAATGGTTTTACAAAATAAGATTGCTTTAACTCTATTGGTTTTAGATGATCAATGTTTAAATTGGTAAATAAGTTTACTTCTTAATTGATTTCACATATTAAAAACTTACTTTGATGTCTAATAAAAATAAAACCATTATGTTAGCTTTAATAAAATAAGTTTTGCCCTTCTTTAAGCATTGCTTTCCCTGTCTTTCATTGGACGTTGTATTCTACTGCTAATATTTATTTCTGACTCAAAACTGAAACACAGTTTAAGCGTGGAAAGTTCACATCTTTCCTTTGAAAACCTCAGCATAATGCAGCATGTTACAAAAATGAGGCTGGCCACCACTGATTTAGGGGCTAAATTATTTCTATTAAAATTACAATATCTCACCTTTCTTTCAGAAAATAATTATATCCTGAAGATGTTCATAGGAAAAATCATACTTGTTTGATTAGTAATTAATTTTAGAACCAGAGGGATACTTGAACTCAAACTGATGATTTTGAGGATAAGAAAATGAAGCTCCAGGCCATATAATTGACTATATCACAAGCAAGCAAAACGTAATATTGAATTAAGTGATATGCAAATAATTCACTACACTATTTCTTAATAATTAAAAATACTATAAACAGGTTGAGCATCTGTAATTTTTATTTGTAAACTCAGAAAAACAAGCAGATAATAAAATTTTTTTAAAAAAAAACACACTAAATTTTACTTTCCATGCTGTACTGTAATGCTATGATTATACCTCAATATGTTCTTACACTGAAATTATTATTAACAAACTGAAGGGTCTACAGGTAGATTTTTTTTTTCTTATCTGAAAGACAGCATTCATAGCTTGACAACGTGTCAAGCAACAGTACTTGTGTGATTTGGATTTTAATTCTCTCTTTGTCTTTGGAAGAAGTTTTACACTGACCTTTTTCAAATGGAGAACTCTGTTATTGGTGTGATTTTTTTCTTTTATGCATTTATTTGGCCATTCTGAGCCCTTCACTGAGTGTCTTATATATCCCAGACACATTAATGTGACCTGGTAACAATCAAGCCAATACTGCCACTGATTACAGCAGCTGAAAAGCAGGTTGGGAACAAGGTAGGTGTGAGCGCAGGTGCTCACTGGCTGGGTATCATGTCCAGCCCTTTGCCACAGGCCAGCAATGATGTCCTGAGGGGGCAAAAAATGACGCCCTGAGGCACCTTCAGAACCAGGAAACAAGAATGTGTGCACCACAAATCAGAGAGGATGAGGACAGTACCACCCAGAGGTGACAACCCAGGGGAGAAGGGCTGAGATCACAATAGCAAAAGCAGGTGGAAAGTGGTGGCATTGCCTAGAAAGACTCCAAGAAGCCAAATCATGGATAGAAGTGAATGGCAAAGGCAGTAGAATGGCTGCATCCCCCAGAAAAGAGAGCCTGCATCATAAAGTTTGTCCTGCTACAGAGTCAGCTGTCCAGATGCAGTTGGTTAACGTCCTCTGTACTCCTTCTTCCCTTCCCCAAACTGCTTAGGCAGAAGCCATAGAAGAAACAGAAGGAAGTATCACACACAAATTTCAAGCATCACAACTAGATGTGGGGACATACAACTGACCTGTAATCCCAGAACTCTGGGAGGTTGAGGTAGGGGGATTGCAAGTTCAAGTCTAGTCTGGAGAACTTAGTGACTTTGTGAGAGTCTCAGTTAAACATGATTAATTTTTCATAATTCAAGGGAAAAGGCTGAGAATGTGGCTAAGTACAAAAGCCTAAAATTCCTCCCACTATTGGAACAAAAAAAATTCAGGCATCAAGCTTGGTGCTTAGTAAGCTCTTTTCAACCTCAGAAACTTATTTATTAGAAATGTGATCATAAAATGTGTCCTATTAAAATCTTCAGAATGTATGCATTTTTTTTTTTTTCTGAAAGGAAAGAAATCCTACCTTGGAAACAGAGAGTTCAGCCCCTCAGTTGGTGATAGTCAAGCCTGATTTTCTGACACACTGAAGTACATTGAGTTTTCTGAAAGAAATGGATGAACTTTGAACTCTTAAAATGTCTCTATAGCCTTCAAGTGGAGAATAAGCATGTTAACTGGTGAATACTGACATTGTAGGAAGTTGGAAATACTGTCAGTGCACTTAGCATGAGACAGAAGACACAGGGAAAGCAAGGTAGCTTTATTAACACTAACACAATTATTTTATTTTAATTAAAAGTAAAAATTCTGGATGAAGTTATTTGTGATCAGACATTCCTAATATGTCCACGAGTAATAATGACAACTTTACTTTATTTTGCATATTAATTTTCCCAGATGGAAAACAGTAATTATCCTAAACCCACAGAAAGGAGAACAAGGTTATTGTTTTTATCATCAGTAAGAATAATTTTAAGAAGCGCTGTTTATTTAAATAAGTGGGTAGTAATGCAGGACAGATACTGAATTTAATCCCAGGTATGTCACTACCTGGGTGTGTGTTCCTGAGTCTGGCCTCTCTTAGTCACCATTAACGCATCTGTATATGATATTTGCCGCCACCCCGGCAGCCATTTTGGGTTGGAATGCATTCTGGAACTTTCCAAATGAGCTATTAGGTGTGACAGTCAAGTAACCCTCAAATCCTTATTTGTAAAAAAACTTGGTCAGGGAATTGCTGAACTGTATAATTTCATCACGCCACCTCTGTTTTTCTGTACTTTTTTTTGTGAATTACTTGTGCTTTCTCACGTTACACACACATGTAACTATTTATTTTTCCCCCCAGTGGGTGTGCCATTCTTCAGGATTCACTAACAAGTTCTATGCTTTAAACACTTTTCAAGTACGCTTCACCAGTGAGTTCTTTCTGTTCATTTGCCTGTCAGCACTTTTCTTCATAGCTACCCGTAAGCAAGAACATCGGGTACATCCGAAGGCCTGTAACTGAGTAATGAGTTTCTTTATATATTTAACATATTTACTTAGTTTTTGCTTCATTTGTTTAAATCTCAAATAAATCATTAGCAATTTCTTTAGTGTCCATTATGTGTTTAAACCTGGAAGAAAAAGAATATAACCACATTGTAAATTTTCTATGGCAAAGAGTAAACAGGATATTTTAACTTGCTGTGTATCAGGGAGCACAGAAGGTCTGATCATCTACCCCTGTGGGTAAGCGCATTGTTCAAAA